TGTTTTACTGCAATATTTCATCAAGCAGTCATTCCAAAACGCGTCCTTTTAATTTTAAGGTAATTTTAAGTAATGTTTAAAATTAAAGTATACCTCATATCGTAATTTTTTAGGGGAAAAATAAAACTAACACCGATAGGAGGGTAAAAATAGGGCCGCGAAGCGGCCCATTGATGGCGCGGAGCGCCTTCAGGGGGTTGGGCCGCGTAGCGGCCAGGGGGCGTAGCCCCCTAGTTTATTCTATTGGTCCATGGCTTGGCCTTCTTCAATGTTTACGTTTTCAGCGATAGACTCTATTAGTGCCACGTCACAGTCGGTATCGATTGTATCGAACTGGATCCAAACAATCAAACATAACCTTACTATTCAATATGAAACTAAAGAATTTCAGAGATAATTCGCCCAGTTTGAGAAAGAAGTTGTGATAGAGACAGCTCTTTTAATCGCGGAACGTTCCCGCATTGTTTAGTTGACGGGATAAAGCAGTTTCAGAAAGGTGAAAATACCCACGAGGGCCACCATGATTTAGGCCACTCTATGGTGTTACATCTGTAAAAGTATCTCGCGTATGAAGGCGAGAGGAAAAACGCATAATGTTGAGTGTTTTCGGTTTGTGGTGAGCGGTGAGCGTTGAAAGAGAAGAAGAAGAAGTATGTTTTGGTTGTCTTCCCTCCAAAAACTGTTCCACCTGCTCCACCACGATGTCTTCCATTCCAAAGAATGTCTTTTTATTAATTATGTTTTGGTTTTCTTCCCTCCAAAAACTGTTCCTGCTCCACCACCACGATGTCTTCCAAAGAATGTCTTTTTATTAATTATACTAAAGAGTAAATGGGGTAAGTAATTTATTATTATTGAATTCACCCTTTAAACCTATTTTTAATTTATCCACGAATATCGCATGTGTAACTCACATCGTATGCTTTGCTGAAGTTGCACGAAATCAACTTTGCAGTTCGCAAGGAAACACTCGAGTACCTAACAAGATTTTGATTCGTTATAGTGACATCAGTACTGTAGAAGCAGCAATATTCATCATATGCATCATTCTGCAGTATTGATGTCACTATGGCAAATCAAAATCTCATTCTACCCTCAACAAGTGCGTGTAACCCACCTGTTCCGTGCCATGTTTAAGTACCGACCTATCATCAGCTTTAGCCTAGGGTCGTAGAGCGCAGATCGCAAAGTATTTCTTTCCCAGGTCCCCCCTTTAGCCTATCACTGAAACTTCGGATCAGTATGACATTCCCGGCCCAAACAAGTAATAGTACCCGAAACAGTCCTCTATCAATTTAAACTCCCTGAATCAGACCATGTGGACCGTATCTTATCATGAACACGTACGATAGGCCTCCTCCACTTCGCACTGTGTGCAGTAATGGTTGGTACAATTGTTAAAATGGAATGCATTGAGACTGAAAACCGCTGAAAGTGTGTTGCCAGATCCCATAATCCTATAGCAGGATTGGATTGGATTGTGGAATTTTAGCCGGGAAAGTTAGCAGCCACATGGGCAGTGGCCTTCCGAAGATGTTAGATTGGGGCTTCTTCCTCTCCTAAGGAATGCATAAACGCTTCCTGACCCCAATTGCGATATCCCTAGCGCATCATGTGGCTAAGTTGACGCTGTTCTGGGGCAATGTGTATACTCGAAATTAGAAGTATTCTAGCGCTATTGGCCTGATGGCAAATTCACATTTTGAGGTTAAGTAACAATTATGGTGTCTGTTTTATCAGCAGAATTCACCTCCTTGTGCCCTTCCCTTATCAAAAAGAGCGCCTTAGTGACCACAGCACTTGTATCTACGCATCCAGTTGGCTTCACTTATTAGTGACTGGTGTCAGAGCATGAAAATTCCTTGTGTTATTACCGAAAGTGGCTTGAGGAGAGGAGAACTATAGATCCTGCCTCTTACGAATTTTGATGGCAACTGCCACTAATAAATGTGGAAATTAGGGCAAATTCAATTCTAATCTGGTGTTTATAATGTTTTCAGGTATTGCGTTGGTGCCTTTGATTTGAAACCCTGAAACCATGTCTCAAAGGTATGAGTGTTGTAGTATTAACATGTCATGTCCCTCTCACATATGATAAATTAATTGTAGTTAAAAGTAATTTTGGAAGTCAGGAAGTGTAAAGGAACATCTTTTCTTCTTTTTTATTAAGAGGACAGTTTTCGGTCTCAACATTGATAAGTTCAGATCCCCAAAAAATGCAAAATGCACTGGCCAAAAGTCATTATTATTTTGTCTCAGATGACTGAAAAACAAACCTCGATGCCGAATTTCAACACGCACAAAATGATAAAAGGATTGACAGGTGTAAAATAAATAAAAAAATGAAATCCACCTTTTCAATGCTTCACAGGAATATGATCATTGCATGAGACTTCACATCTGGAAATTTGTATTTTTCATTTTTTGAATGAAGTGTACTGTTTGAGACTGTACAGAAAAGACCATGATAAGTCACTTCCAACGTTGTCGAAATCTTGCAAATTCTCATTTTCCTACGAATCATTAATTTAGAAACAGAGAAATGAATCTTTCACAAAAATTGCACCCATCGCTTCAATTCTATGAGACCAATTGGAATACGTTTGAGTCAGTAAGTTTTCTTCTTTAGTTTTCTCAAAGTTGACAATTTTCGCTATCTACATTTGATACGAAAGTGTGCAGTTTGGGCCCGTCTACAAATTACGTTACGCTGTTTTCCCGTTTTTTTTCACACCCCTCCCCCCTATTTTACTCAGAAAACATAGAAAACAGCTTCAATTCTGCCTCTAAAAATCTACAAAGCTTAAAATTCTCCAAAAAATTGGCGGATATAGCATGACGTAACGCTCAGCTTAACTCACCCCCCCTCCTCTTCCCCTCATAACGCGACCTGAAACCCCCACTCCCCCCCTCGAGCATTACGTAATTTATGGACGGTTGCTTTGACAATACATTCATACTCCCCTCGTCTTGTGACATTTTATATTTGAAGAAGTCTCCTAAAATTATGTGACGAACATGTGAAACATTCTTAAATGATATAAATGATGGATGTTAGTACTAAAATCCCAATTATTTTCATTTCACATGTTTTAAAAGGGTCCATTGCAGAAAAAAAAATGTGTGTTTCTTATTTTTGTCTATATTTTATGCATCTTTAATGTGATCCAAATCCGAGGGGGGCAAGCCGCACCGTCCCCTTGTAAGCCTTTTGACAATGCGTGGGCTGTGTACAATTTTTTAAGATTCCTTAAATGTTATCCTATTATTCTTTAATAAAATCAAGCGTCACAATCTTTGGTCCAAAATCAAGGGTATCCATGTCACTCTGTTCTATGTTGACTTTCAGCTGGGTGATTTGAAGAAGAATGACCCACTGATGAATCTTAAGGTGCCTCTATCATCTGTTTTAATCTTTTTTTCCTTTTCTGCAGGCCAACACCAAAACAGTCTCAGCTGAGATCGCTGCTTCAACTATTAGATCAAGACCCTGATGCCGTTGAAGAATTCCTAAGTCAAAGAACGTCAACAGAGCCCGTTTCAGGAGATACCCCCAGAGGTTTACTTGGTTCCAGTGGATTGATTTCTTCACAAGGCACTTCGAGAGGATTGTTTGCTGGAGGCACTCCACGACAAAAAAATCAAGGGAACCAGTTAGTATCAACGACCAAATTACTTGGTAGTAAGAGCAAGAAAACCACAGTGGAACCACTAGATATCTCCTTCTGTAGAAAGCTCATTTTACTTCGTGATCACAATCACCGAAAGGTTCTTACTGAAAGTGAAGAGGCTGAACATTGTCGTGCTAATAATGTGTGTGACTCAGCAACCTTTCAAACAAATTGGTCCGAAGCAAAAATCAAGGATCACATTCGAGCTATCTTTAACCAAGGTGACGTGAAGAAAATTAATAACGAGGAATTAAAAATCCTTAAAATCGTGAAACAGAGCCACCTTGCGAACTATTTCCTAGAGCCGGGCGCTGAACTCAATGGCAGGTTTCTTAATGAATATTCCAAGGGAATTATATACATCAGCGCCGTTCCTAGTGACAATGAAGCCAATGCTTTAGTGCCCAAAACAGGGAAAGTAAATAAGGATCCGAGTTTCAGTGCATCTGGCTCTCCCCAACCCTCCACTTCCACCACCTCTCGGCAGTGTGATTATGATGTTTCCCATTGCTTGCCCAAAGGAAGAACCATTGCATTTGATTCATCAGAATCTTCAGACGAGGACATTTTCCTGCCAAAAAAGAGACCGAAAGAGACAGCAAAACCGATCACCAAAACAGAGCATCGCAGCAGTGATATTTACACAGATCCGAACGGTAGACACTGGTTTTTTGATGATAACGGAGTTGGACACGAATTGGTCGACGCATCCACCACTACCAGGAGGAGCGTTTCAATGGCAATTGATATGGCCAAGACCAGAATCACCGGACCCTACAAACTTTTAACGTTGCGAAGGTCTCAAGTTTTGCAGGATCTGTTACAAAACCTGATGGAGTGTCCTTCAGTACCCGTAGCTGACATCTCTATGCGGTTGATGAACGAACGTGGTGTGGGAAAAGGAGTAATGAAAGAGGTGATGACACTTGCTATGCAGGAAGTCATCAAGTCAGACCTATTCGAAGGTAACGAATACTGCAAGACATTAAAGAAGAGCATCATCGCCGAGCGGATTGGGGAGTACCAATCATATGGTTTCATCATTGCATTTTCAATAGTACATGATGGCCCGATGCCAACATTTTTTAGTCCCGTTCTTGTGGATCTTATTTTTAATTCTGATCCAGTAACTGCGACCCTAGATGATGTGTTAAATCTGCACGTCAAGGCTCAGATAACGGCGTTAAAGCAAGCCGAAAACTATGCAGATGCCAGGTCAGCTTTAGCAGATGGAGAAATTTTTGAACGCGCTGGCACCTACCAACAACTCAGCGAATCAAACTGGTTTGAGCAGCGAGAAATAGCAATAAAAGGTACGTACCTTTTTGTATTCTTCTTTAATGATTCAGTAGACACTTTTTTTTCAAATAGCATATTCTAAAACTACTAAATGAGCAGAGTATACAGTTATTTTCCTGGGTCATTTTGGAGCCGAAATCGTGGAGAAAAACGGTTTCCTGTTTACCAAAGATTCAAGGAAATTTCAAATTTACCTCGAGACAGGTCCACGTTTCGCGCCAGGTAACTGCACCTCTGTTAGGTTAGGTTCCTACGCGCGGCCTGGCCTTGTAACTAAAGAGCGAGTCTTGAACTCCTAGTGTTGCTTCTGATTCGTTCCTTTTGATGTCAGTAGGAGACTGCAAAAATAAACCAGGTATGAATCTTGCCTGTAACTGTTAATGCAGTTTTCTCAGCTTAGGAGTCATTAAGTCATTATTTTGAATTTTTCTTGTTTCCATCGTGTTCCTCGTTAAATTTGCAATAAGAATCATGTTGTTTGAAGCTTCAATTATTACTTGTCTACTGACTCATTATATCTTTGCACCATGACGTGAATGGTCACATCAAATAAGTAGGCAAATTGGTGCTTTGAACTTTGACGATACGGTTCAGAAACTAAATTTTTGTGGGGAGGCGATAATAGTTGCAATTATTAGATAACCCTTGACTGCCAAGTTAAAATAATAGCGTTTAAAGAACTCTCTGATTTTCATGGAAGAAGCAAGGTGGATTGCTGATCATTCCATGAAGTCCTATTTTTCTGAAAGTTGCATGTTGCTGTTCTTCTTGAATGTGATGAGTCAAACACGAAAAATTTAGATTTCACTCTAAATCAAATCGCAGTCCTCTTGGTGTAAATCTGTTTTTCATGTTCGACTCTGTATTCTAAAAATTTGTTGTCTCCCAGTCATATCAACGTATCCTCAATTCTATGTTGTAAAATTTACACAAAAGTTTCAGTTTTATGAGGAAAGCATTTTTAAATTTATGGTTGTATTCTAGATACAATGGTACAACCGGGAGACAAATTATTTCCACTGTTCATTATTCTCTGTTTCTATTTTAATCTTCTTCATTTTTTTTTTTTTTTTATAGATGCCATAGAATTCTATTGCATACAGAATGTTAGAGAACCAGCACGTCTTCTAGGGTTTGGCTTAAATAGATATTACAGTCTAATTGATGAATTGAAACACTGCGATATGGCTGATGTGAAGCAACTTTTTTGTCACAGCCATCCTAAAAACGCCATCCTTTCGGCTAAAATGATGAAGGAATTATTCAAAGTTTCTCCTGAAGATGCAAAGACACCTGCTTACAAGAACTGGCTTCGTTTTTTAGACGAATTAGAAAAGAAAAGTAAGTAGCCTCCTGTCATCTTTTTTGTACAGCTAACGTATTCACAACCAGGATTACTACTTTCTGAAAAAATTGGCAAATCTTTTCATAATTTACTCCGGAATTTACTTTTCTCAAATTATTTTAGAAATTTTTCAATTTTTTACACTGAATTAATATGAAAAAAAAAATTAAGTCAAATTTTTTAATTAAAAATACTTCTGATGACTTTCGCACTGCTAGACTGACCAAATTCTGCACTGTGCGCCGTCAAAAAACTGTTTTTCCGTTACAAAAGAGGGTTGCTTAGGTCCAAAAATGTGTTAAAATTGCATCTAATTGTAAGATGGGTTAATTTTTTCAAAAAAATTTCGGGTACGACCCCTGTACCCCCCCTCAGGGAAGTGTTCCGTCTCAGACCCGTATGTTGCGCGTCGTCATATTTGGGCATAATAACTCAAAAGTGGAAAATCTGAAACCATCTCATGATTTTAATTTTGAGTACTGTCACTGATCGTCTTATCACCACTCGCATACATACACCTTTAAGCTTGCTGAAAAACTAAGTGATATGTTTGTTTCTTGGTAAAAGTTATGAAAATAGTCATTAAAGAAGTCAGGGAAAAAAGTGAATTTTTGTCTGGAAAACCTACAAAAGTCAGTGATTTCTTTTTTCCTGAAATTACGAGAAACCCTGACAACCAAGGAGTGTTAAGAAGCAATAAAGATAAAGATAATTTCGGAAAATTTGGACTCCTACTCTTTCTGAAAAACCGCATGCAAGTGTCTTGACCCTTTTCAACACTGTTTTTAACTTTTTTCTTTTTATCAGCAGCTGCACCTGGTCTTGAGTTGAAGGACATGCTTCGCTTCGCGACTGGCCTTGATTCAGTGCCACCCTTTGGATTCAAAACAAGCAAGCCTGTGATAAAGATTGAGCCTTTACTAATGCCAAAAGGCAAAATTTGTTTTAACCAACTTACGCTGCCTTCCCTTAATGCTTCTTACTTCGAGTTTAAGACGATGATGGAAACAGCAATGGAATTTGGTTCTGAACTGGACGAGGCGTAACCTTTTTACATTCCCTCCTTTAATGTAATTATGTCCTGTGTCGGTGCCTTTAGTGTTTTTCTAATAGAATAAGTTGCGTGTTGTCTCTAAGACTGAGTTACCAAAGTTGACTTGGATTTGAAAAAAGGGACTAGGGTTAGCACCTGCCTCAGAGCCTTCTGCGAAGTGTAAAAAATTTTCAGCTTGAAAATGGTCGAAGTTTAAAATGGCGAAAAATTGCGGGAAATTTCTGAAATTGAAAATCCAGAAATTGTGTTTTTCAAAATACCTCATAGTTCCAGAAAAATACTGCTGGAACGCTAAAAGTGTTGCATTATTGAAAGTTGAAGGATCTTAATGGTTTAACACCGTTTAATCATCGAAATGGATGGATTTTTCTAAAAACCTATACTTTTCTGAACTTAAGGGTATTTTGATAAACAGAATTTCTGGATTTACAATTTCTGAAGTTTCTCCTCGATTAGCTGCCATTTTAAAATTTGATCATTTTCAAGCTGAAACATTTTCACCTTAGTCTGTTATCGTGCTCACGACATATTTTTTTCTTAAAAGTAGACATATTTATCTTTAATAATCCCAGGTCGAACGTTTTTCTACGACATTTAGAAGCTGCACAATTAATTCTCAAAAATTGGTCTGATTCAGACATTGAACAGCCATAACTCGTGAACGACTGGTCCAAACTACAAAAACTTGGGGTCATTTTATTTGTAATATTAAGGCCTATTCAATGGACCATAAATAACTAGGGGTTACCATAAGAGATTTCAAAGTTGAACACTGTGCGAGCCCCTCCTAAAGCGGCTCAATTTTGACAACCCCCCCCCACCCCCCTAAAAAGTTTCCTCCTCGATGCAATAAAAATTGCTGCAAACCCGAAGTTTCTATCTCTATTCATTCTGAAATAAAATTTATTTTTCAGTTACTTTTTGGAAACCCGGTATGTAAGGATGTGTAATGACGCATTTGTTTTCATTTTTTTTAACAAATAAAATGTTCAATATTGGGTGCAATCCAACAGAAAAGTGACTGCAGCGTCGAAAACCTCTTAAATTACTCGTTTTAAGGTGATTCGTCAAGCTCAAGTGACGTGGTCGAACTTGCATGCGATATATCGCATCTTATAGGTAAAAAATCTCGGCAGATTTTGAATTTTCAGCAAAACAAAGGACGATAGCCCTTGCGCATGAGCCTAAAGAATCACTCTAAACCCAAAAATCGGCATAATTTAGAGAAATGAAAACAGAATAGTGTTTGGAAAAAAACCTCGCATTCAATACAGAAATCGATAGCTGAATCGAATGCGAGGTTTTCTTCCAAACACTATCCTGCTTTCATTTCTCTGAATTTTGCCGATTTTTGGGTTTAGAATGATTTTTTCGGCTCATGCGCAGGGGCTATCGTCCTTTTTTTTGCTGAAAATTCAAAATCTGCCGAGATTTTTCACCAAAAGATGCAATATATCGCATACCAGTTCGACCACTTCTTTTGAGCTTGACGAATCACCTTAAAGGAAGTCCATCGTTGCAAGTCAACCTCTGTTGGAATCATTAACAATTATTAATATATATTAATATATTACAGTGCAGTGTGATTATTTCTAATTAATAGTTCATGCATTAGTTTTTTTCTTCTTTGTTTTTAAATTGATTTTGCAATGAAAAGTTGCATCAAATGAATGTGAAAAGCTTGCTACTTCTAAGTTTTCAAAGCTAAGCCCCTTCCTCATTTAAAATGTTCTCATTCATCATTTATTTTTAGCTTAATTAAATGATTGGTTCTAAATTCTAATGTGTTCTTGCTAGTATAATTGTTTTTCTTCTTTCAATTCTAGTTATGTATTCCTAATGGTTTTAGTTGTAACTAGTCTTTTTGCTGTACTGTATTTCCTTTCATTATTTTCTCACTCGAACTAGATTTTTGTTGAGAGCTGATACATTCTAAGAGATAAATTGACTAGAGGAGAAACATTCTGAGTTTATGCTTTTGACAGATAACGGTTAGTTCCTAAGACACACCAAACCATGCCAGGGGGGTGAGGTAGCGCAGGGATGCCCTAACCCCACCCTGCACGCCCTATTTTTGAGACTTTTTGGAACCGCTATCTGTGCAATGCGCAAACTCAGAATGTTTCTGCTCCAATTCAGAAGACGTATCAACTTGCTTCGGTCATTACTTACCATATTTCTATGATCCATGTTCATAAATGTTTAAACTTACAGTTAGTTGCGCTATTTGTCCAAACAGAATACTCAAAGTGTATCAGCTCTACAAATATTTATAAGTGTACTTATTGTTTCTTTGGACCTATCTGGTCTAAAGCTTTGTTCGTTAAACATGATGTTACCTAATCTTATTTTTCTGATAGTTTTTTAATAATTGCCGGACTAATGTTCAAAGTTTTGATAGTATTACTTTTATTAGTCTCTACCTCATTTGATTAATGACTGATGTATCCTTAATTTTTGTTCCTACAAGCACAAACATTGTGGAGTAGTGAGACTGATTTTTTGAAAAGTGTTCTCCTGTCTCTTATTTTGCCTATTCTTATAAGGGGACTTAATTTCCTTTTGTCTTTTTAAAATGGCTATTCTCTTGCCTCTTATTTTGTCTATTTTGGTAAGGGGACTCTATTCCATTTTGTTTTTTCTCATCGAGACCGAACGGATGTCCCAAATAATGATGTTATGCTTTTTGTTGTCATGTTGGTCTTGTTTAGTTTACAGATTTTGTTCAGTTGTAGCAGTATGTGAACTCAAACCTGGTGACATTTTCGCTACTCAATTCTGTAAAATACATAACATTTGCTCAATCCAGTTAATTTTCAAGTCAGGAAAAAGTATTTTGTTTGTTTCAATTTTGCTTTAGTATTTGAACTCGTTATTAGGGTGGATCCGAAAAATCCGATTTTCCGCGATGCCTCTGCTGACAATGGTTTTTAGTTGCCAAACTGGCTTAAAACAACACCTGAAAAGTTTGGTCGTCGAAAGCCACCCATAGACACTTGCGCCGTGGCCTTGAAGGGTAGGTTATTTCCATTGTGGGTGCGTGTCCTAAATATTTTTTTCGGAATTTGTGCATAGTCAATTCTGACTGAAATTGTCGAGTTGTGGTCCTATAGGGTCAAAATTCTATCCATTTGGCTGTATCTGTATTGGGGAAGGTAGCAACGCACCTGCTTTGTTTACCTGCTTTGACCACCTCAATGCGCCCCCACGGTTCGCGGCACGGACACCGACTCGCTGTCAAAGCAGTTGCGTTTTTCTGATCCACCCTACTTATTACGTCATATTTCTGTCTGTGTCAATGTAATGTTCCTTTCGCTGCCATAAGTCAGCAACGTTGGACTCACAAATATGAACTGCGTTCCTCTAAGTGAGCAGTTTTTTCTTTTCTATTTATTATTTTTTCACTTTGTTTTCTCATTATTTTATTGTATTTGCTTTTCTTCCTTTGTTACCCATTGGAACTTGCTTAAAGTTGTAACCTGTTAAATGAGGTTCAACACAATTTTTAACTTTTGTTGCTTTCTTTTCTTTATTCATCTCATTAAAGTTTTTGTATTCTTCTACTTGCCATTGATTTATACTAACCTGAATCCTTGACCCACATCAAGCAGAATTAAGGACCCAGCTGAAAGACCATTGTCAATGCCATATCTTAAAATATATACCCTATTTTTTTTATTAGAATCTGATTTTTCGGAGCATTTATAAATGCAAAAACCTTACATGCCCTGTTTCCTAAATTGTGCTAGAGCAGAAACATTCAGAGAAGCTTTTGACAGATAGCGGTTTGTTCTGAAAAGTCACCAAATCAGGGAGGGGTTACAGCACCGGTGTAACAACTCCAGAACTAGCCGCTATCTCAAAAGCTTAGACTTGGAATGTTTCTGCTCTAAGTATTATTGAATCAGTCTATGCAGAAAATAAAAGTATGTCTTAAATCCAAATTTTACTGAAGGACTAAAAAATTTCCTCACTTCCACGGAATGGGCCAAAAGTTTTTTTGAAGATGTCAGTTGCACACTCAAAGGGCTCTGTGAAGCTGTGTATCTACTTTTCGCCAGTTTGTCAAATTGGTCTCTCTGTTATAAATCATTGTAGTTTGTGGCCATGTTTGGTTCCTGCATCAAAACAGATAAATCGTGTGATTTTTTTCATAAAATTA